CACACACACACACACACACACACACACACACACAGACACACACACACTAGCTCTGCCTCCATCTCAGTACCTCACATCTCCCCATGTTTCTACAACACACACGGAACAAAGAACAGCACACACTGAGGAGTAAAGATGAACGTCACGTAGCTTACAACACGTTATGGCGTCTCTCCACCTGCCCACACTGGCACAACACAATCATTGACACAACATAAGTATTGACACAACACAATTGTAATGTGACATAACACAATCATGTGACAGCACGGAACACAATCACTGACAAATACGAGAAACAACATGAATAAATAAACAGATAAAATCTTTTGCTAATTTTTGATGTTGGTGACGTGTGTCCGGAGTTAAAAGGTTCCATTTGCGGCGTGAACAAATTACGTATTATTATTATATGGATCTATCAGCGATTACTGTGAGCAGATGCAGCGACGGTCTCCAGTGCCCAATGACACGATCGGTTCGGTTCGGACCTGTTCGATTTGTTAGCCCCACTGAGGGCGCTAAGCAGCTACCGTGGCACAAACCGATCGCCCGACTCGTCGCCTCAAAAAACAAAAGCGTTTGGGGTTTTTTTTTTCAGTCAACGAGTCGGGCGATCAGTTGGCGGTCGGTTTGTATTAGAGAACCGAAACTGATCCCACAATGGGCACACTGTATAACGTGCATCGGCAGACTATTTTTAGTTGATGTAGACATGTAAATTTAGTTCCACCCCTCCCCCCCCCCCACCCCCCTTTCCACGAACAACAACAACAACAACAACAACAAAACCCCCCTTTCCCGGCATACATTCTCAAATAAATTTTTCAGACACCGTTCGCGAATGACGTCACGGCGTCTCATAAAGAACCCCACTGAGAGCGGAGACCGTTTGTGTGCACAGTGGTAGGCCTAGGTCAAACGACTTGCAAATGGCGGCGAAGTGGCAAACCGCTACACCACGGATGTTGATGCATCTCGAGAAATAAACAAATACAGAATAAAGGGGGGGAAATCTGAGGTGAAAGAGCAGGGACATGTTTTTTTTAAATAGTTAGAATAGTTGTTGATCTTTTCTTTGCTTTTTTTGCGGAGAGTCTTTTGGATTTGTTTGCTTTTGTGTGTTTCAAGCTGCCCATCCCTATATTATGTTAGGCCTCCATTTACTTTATTGTTTTAGTGGTGACAACTCTTATAATGTTTTTAACTGATTCCGTCCATGATTTTTTCCGGCTCTGGACAGAATTATTTGTCCCTGTTCAGTTTTAGACCTGGGGTGCATCTATTTAATGCATTCCTGTGAAGCTCTAAGTTAATCTAATATGTATTGTCATATACCAAACTGATGGGAATAAATAGAAGAATCTGTTTATATCAATAACAATGACCTCCTGGAACATAATTTGGTCACATAAGTACTACAAGTTGCGTCCCGAGGCGGAAAATGTCGAAATGACAAAAAAGATGAGTTGATGCCTATGTTGAATTGAAAGACCTCAAAGTCATTTTCTTTTTTCTTTAATTTACACGCCGCGAGAAATTAACTAACGCCTTCAACACAGAGCCAGGGGGAAGACGAAGAGTAGGCCTAACTTGGATGGACAACATAAAAACATGGACTGTCCTGGATATGGCAGAAGAATGTGCAACGGCAGCTCGCGTTCGTGAAAGATGGAGGGTCATTACACGTCAACGTGTGAGTCAGAGATGACACCTCCAGGTATCCAGGTATTTCTTTTCCTTTTGATTTCTTTTTTTTTCGGGGGCCGGAGAGGGAGGGGGTGTTGTTGTTGTTGCTGTTGTTGTTGCTGCTGCTGCTGCTGTTGTTGCTGTTGTTAATGTTGTTGTTGTTGTGCAACCAGCTTAGAGCGTTGAAGTTGAATTGGACCAAGGTGAAGTGTAGCATAAATAATTGATTTAGTAGATGGAACCTTTTCAATTCGGATACGCGAAAACCACAGCCCTCCACCACTCCAAACTACGAGCCGTGCCTCTGTACAGCAGCGTATAGGACACACAGAAACGAAACAAATAATGGGGATTTTGGAATGGTAATGGATCCTGAGCGTTGATTGGCCGCCTCCTCATGCTCTGACGTCACCGTTTCTTCCGGCTCTATCTGTGACTCCACCCACTCGTCAATTATCTCCTGCAGAATATCCAAGGGAACATAACCCACCTTCAAAACCTGGTGGTGAAACTCTTTCAAGTTGAATTTTTCACCTGAGGAAAGGAAAAAAATAGGTTAAAGTAAAGTAAACTTTGCCTCTCACCCCAAATACACCAATTAACCCACCATAGAGGCTTTTTGCCTTTTCGCATAGAGATTATAACTGATCGCTTTTTGTTCCTGTAACTGTAAGACATGGCACCAACACCACAGTGACCTCCACTCTGACCTCAGATCCGCACACTAGTAGGCCTACTAGGTCGGCAGTTACGAATTGGAGGTACATGACATTAGCATTAACTAAACAACCCCCCCCCCCCCACACTACTCCAAAAATGAACAAGGAAAAAAACAAAAGAAAAGAAGAAAGAATAGAAATGAAAAGAAAACCCATCCAAACAAAAAACCTCATTGTGTCTTCAGATGTTCTACATTGCTAAATCAAACAAACTTGCTGCTACCCTTCTGCCTGGTGCTGGTTGCCTACAGTGTTATTGCCAATACATGTACTGATGAGTCGACATCATTGTCTTGGTGGAATCTTTGGTAATTGCATGACCTATGAGAGTTGCAGGTACCGGAAAAAACCTGTTTCTAAAACAAAACTTTGGAAAAATATTGTGTTTTTTTTCTCCTAATGTCCTAATCCCCTGACTGGACTTATGCAATGAACCTCCAATATTCTGAGTTGTTATGGTCACAGTTGTCGGATTAAGGCAAGGAGGTTATTTATGCTAAGATCCTTGGATTAAGGTCAAATCTAGTTGGGTTTTGTGTCTTTTCTTAACTAATTAAAAAACAACAACCAAAAACAACTCTTCCTCCTAAAAAACAAACGACAACAATAAAATAGAACTAAATAGAAATGAGCAATTGACCCCCCC